GTTCTTATACATTCTCTAGTGTCTTCTAATCTCCTAAGTGTCTAGCTCTTGGAATCTTGTGATGACATAGTGCTTCAGAATGTAGATACCAACTGTTGTCATTGTTTATGTTCATTAATATCTTCTCATTTCTGATATAGCAAGCCATCTTGTAGGAACAACAAATTCCACTGTTTCCAGTACATTTTTGTTTGAATAGAGCGAATTTTTTGCCACGAAGGATTTTCTGTACTATTCTTGCTCCATTGAATAATCGTTTAAATTCGTATCTTCTGCTTGAGCATCTTTCAGTTGAGTGTTGGACCACTTTAGTTAGTCATTATCACCGGGGAAGTTCCATCTTAGACTGCAGTTTATTGTACTTAAGGCTGGATATATTTACTATCTCCTACTTCCCTCTTTTCACAGTGTTTACATTCTTATTTAACAACATGTACTTCGGGATAAAGCATTAAATTTTCCAGGATTCTGTACAGAACAATGAATGGCATGAAAATTGCCTTTCTGAAGCTTCTGGGATAATTTGTTATTTGACCTTTTGATTCAGTTGCATGGTCTGTTCATAGTGTAAACGTTTTCCATATAAGCAATGATGAAAACACTTAGTAGCTAATGCATTCTGAATTGTACAATACATCCTTTCTGAAATATTCATTAACTTTCTATAGTAGGTAATCACGTGTTCTTTTTCATTTTGTACTTACGATAGCATTGCTTTCACTACTAAATGACTAGCATCTGTAACTAAAATGAATGGATCTGCAAGAGTTATGAATGTTAATACATGGGTAGTTGTTAATTATTTATTCAGTTTTCTGAATACTTGTTTATATCCAGCAGTCTAATAAAACTCGTTTTTCAAGTAATTTGTGTAGAGGACGAGCCATGTCAGAGAAAGATTTAACAAAATGACAACAATAAGAGCACAGTCCAGGTAATCCTCTTACCTTCAGCAGGTTTTTTGGCGTTGGCCATTTCTGAACAAATTCAGTCTTAGACGGACCTGTAGATACTTTATCAGTGCTGAGTATGTGTTCCAGAAACTCACCTGTTGATGGAACTAAGTATGTGTTTCAGGAACTCACCTGTTGATGGAACTGAGTATGTGTTCCAGGAACTCACCTGATGATGGAACTATTTAAGACTTTTTGAGATCCAGCTTACTGTTCTCTTTCCTCAACCAATCCAGTACTTTTCTTACTCCATCAAAAGCATTATCAAGGACTTTCCCATTTGTGATTATATCATACGATTATATAAGTATGACTTTTTAAAGTAGTTCAGAGTTCATTAGTCGTTGAAATGTAGCAGGTGCATTAAACAATCGAAATGGTTACACGACAAAGTGCCGCGGTCCATTTTCTGCAGCAAAGGCTACTTCTTTTTACTTATCTCATCGACTTGCACTTCCTAACATCCTCTTCTCAAATCCCTTGTTGAAAACCATTTTGATACAGATAAAACATCCAAAATTCAGTCAATCCTTAGCAGTGGAAGGCCTCCTTGAAGATCTATTTTTCTTCACAAGTACAACAGATGATGTCCAATAACTAGTAATCAGTTCTATTACTCCCTGCTCCTTCATGACTACTATATCCTTTTTAGGCCTCAGTCTGCTTTAAAAGTACTGGTCTGGCAAACTGACGTTTTTAGGCAACTTCTCTAGTGTCAATCTTATTAGATATTGCATTCGTTTTGCCTAAGTTATGAGATCCACTAAAGAGGATATCCTTTAGCAAGTCATGTAGTCTACAGTACTGATTAACTGTAAGACTTCCACACCTCCTCTCATATAGCTTTGAGAATGAGGTGGTAAGCTGTCTTTATGTGAGGATTTTACATCATACATTTTACATCTTGCCTTAAAAAAGACTACTTCTGATGTTCTTTGATGTGGAAGTACTACCTGTGCACCTTCACATCTTGCAATGCACTATCCAGACTTGACTTCAATTTTGTGGTTTGTTGTGTTCATGGCCCTAATGATGGCATTTTTATTTTTCATATTCACGAGTTTTTCCAACATTAATCCTTCAGGACATACTGGAGTGTTCGGTTCTACTATACCCCAATCTCTAAATGTAAATGTATTCCTAATAAGTTATAGTCATATCTGTATGGTACAATGACTGCTCCCCCTATTGTCACTGGAAGTTCAGCCTCTGATGTAGCAATTGACCTAAGTGTACATGGATTTCCTAATCACAGACTGTGAAGGTATTTTAATCCAGCCTAACCTCGCATCCATGTTTCCACATAAAGTCAGTTCCCAATATGCATTCTTTCTCAGTGTCAGTTGCCCAACATATGAGGTCCTGAGAATATTCCTGCAGTGAGTAGTTTCCAACTGGAGTATTCTCAAATGAAATTTGTTCCATGCGAGATGCCTGGTCAGCTTTCTGTTGTTTCTTTGATCTTGTTGGGTTTGGGGACACATTTTTGTAGTATTACCTCCTTGATTTATTAGCAGTTGTTACCATTCACAGCTGTAATAGTCTTGTTTTCCACACTTATAATAATTACTTCTTACTGACATTCTGCAGTTCCTCGCAATGCCTTTCAAGTTACATATTAAAAATCTAATGTTTGTGGTTTATTTCCTATATGCTGTGCAACTATCCATTTCAACTAATCTTTTAGACTATCTTTAGGGGAAAATTATGTTTCAATACTTCTCAATTTTATTATCCCATACTTCTGGATGGTGCCTTTAGTTGTTTATTTGTGACTTTAATGGATCCAATTTACATTCTCCTCATGAAATCTTCCTTTGTTTTAGCCTAATTTGATCATTCTATTATGATATCTATAATTTGGTCACATGCCTATGGATCCATCATTTCACGTGGAGCATCCACAAAGATAATTGGGCAAGCCTCGCTAATCTCTCGCGAATTTGGGTAAGGTATCTTCTTTCCTCCATATCCTGCTCTCAAACTTTGTTTTTTATACTTGTTTCTGGTGTATCACTCCAGCAATTATCAATGCTTGATTGTTGTTAGAGCTCTCATGTGGAAGATTAGTTGATGTTATTAAGGCTGGTCCTTTTAAATGGACATCAATATGAATAACTTATTGTATACTATTCTACCCATTCTCTAAGGACGTGATATGCCTCCAATCATAGTCCAATTGGGAAATATTGTTGAATTGGCCAGCTGAATTCTGGAACTGGATTTAATAGTGACATAGCTCTTGTAGTTCAGGAATGTCTTACACAACAGTAGAGGTAAAAGATGTAGATCGATTAGTTTTTCATATTTCACAGTTAATGTTATATTAGATTGAAATTATTTGCCACATACATACAGAGATGACTGTTTTTATTTTTCTTGCATTAACTAACTCATTTTCCAAATGTTTAATTCTATCAATGATGTTTTTTTTCAGTCCCACCAATTTCATCATTACTGCCTTTCAATATTTGTTCAACTTCATTATTGTAATCTCCCTAATAACTTCATTCATCTTTCTTCAGAATAATATATACTTCTTTAAATATTATCTCTTTCTTTCAATTCGTAAATTAATTCTCTCTTTTGTCTTCTTTAATGCTCTATGTTTCTACCTGCTCATTCTTTATACTCTTTAATCATCCAGAGCAAATTGTTAATCTTGCTTTGCTTTTTTTGAAATTTAATAAAAGTTATATTTTATTTTCACCAAAATAACCCACTTCTGACACCAATGTTTTAATGTATTCTATCGTTGGTCGGGTTTCTTTGGCTA